TGAAATTGCAAACAAAAAAAAAAAAAAAAAAAAAAAAAAAAAAAAAAAAAAAAAAAAAAGGGAATTGCCGAGAAGAGACTGGACGCAGCAGAGAGAGAGAAAAAAAAAAAATGAGTCTGTGTAATGACTCTTAAGTCATTTATATTGACTTAAAATTCATGCGGGCCCCACAGGTATATAAATATTTATTTAACTTTAACATTTATATATATATATAAACATTACATTCTCCCCAACTTTAAAAGATTTCGTCCCCAAAATCAAGTCATACCTGAGGGAGAAAACAACTCTGGATACTTGAAGCGAACCTCTTGTTCGAGCTCCCAAGTAGCCTCCTCAACTCCGTGATGCCTCCAAAGAATCTTTACCAACAGTATCGTCTTTTTCCTCAATATCTTCTGCTGTGTGTCAAGGATCTGAACTGGTCCCTCTTCGTAGGAAACATTCTAGTCAATGTCAACATCAACCCAACTAAAAAATGTGAGACAGATCCGGCTCGTACTTTCGTAGCATCGATACATGAAAGACATTATGAACCCTATCCATTTGTGGTGGCAATGCTAGTCTGTAGGCAACCTCTCCTACACAGTCCAAGTTCTCAAAAGGTCCAATGAATCGTAGCGACAACTTGCCACTCTTCCCGAACCTCATCAACCCCTTCCGTGGAGAAACCCGAAGAAAAACGTGGTCTCCCACCTCAAAGGATAGCGGTCGTCTCCGCCTATCTGCATAACTCTTCTGTCGACTCTGAGCTGTAAGCAGTCTCTGCCTGATCAACTTAATTTTCTCGGTAGTCTCGAGTACAAAGTCGGGTCCTAAGGCAATTGTCTCGCCCACCTCAGTCCAACAGACATAAGACCTATAAAGTCTACTATACAACGCCTTAAATGGAGCCATCTGAATACTCGCCTGATAACTGTTATTGTAGGCAAACTCAATAAGTGGAAGGTGATCCTCCCAACTACTACCCAAGTCAAGTACATAAGCCCGAAGCATATCCTCCAAGATCTGGATGGTACGCTTTGACTAGTTGTCCGTCTGTGGATAGAATGCCGTACTAAAGTGCAATGCTAAGCCAAACGCTGCTTAAAGTCCTTCCAAGAACTTCGAGGTGAACTTAACATCCCTGTCTGAAATAATAGCCACTAGAACTCCATGCAATCTTACAATTTCTTTCACATAAAGTATACCAAGTGCCTCTGCATCATCTGTTGCCTTAATAGGAAAGAAGTGAGCCGTCTTGGTCAATTTATCAATAATGACCCATACAGCTTCATTTCCCCTCCATGACCTAGGAAGACCTGTCACAAAATTCATTACAATCTCCTCCCATTTCCACTGCGCTACCGGTAATGGCTGCAATAAACCAGCTGGTCTCTAGTGCTCGGCCTTCACCTGTTGACAAGTAAGGCACTTAGCCACAAACTATGCAACGTCCTTCTTCATTCCATTCCACCAATATTGATATCTCAGATTGTGATACATTTTGGTACCATCCGAATGAACTACAAAACGGGAAGTGTAAAATTCCCGTAAAACGTCCTCACGACAAACTGTGGGAACAACCAACAAACCCCAGAACCTTAGACCTCCATCTGCATGTAAGGTCTAATTCTTCACGGTCTCGCCACTGGAGATCAAAGTACAAATGGCATCTAAATCCGAATCCTGTCTCTGTGACTCAATCACCGGTCTGACAAAAGTGGGTTGAGCCACGAGACTAAACAAGAATACTGACTCACTGTCATCATCATCATCATCAAAACAATACAATCCCATTTCAGCCAAATCTTCAAGCATTTTCCACTTCCGAATGGCTAAACTAGCTAAAGTCCCACGAGATTTTCGGCTTAAAACATCAGCTACCACATTTATCTTACCTGGATGATACTGCACATCAACGTTGTAGTCTTCTAAGAATTCAACCAATCGCCTCTGTCTGTTGTTCAAGTCCTTTTGGTAAAAAAGGTACTTGAGACTCTTGTGGTCCAAGAACACCTCAAATTTCTCACCATATAAATAGTGTCTCCAACACTTCAAGGCAAAAACGACTGCCAATAGCTCCAAGTCATGAGTGGGGTAGTTATGTTCATGAGTCTTCAATTATCGAGACCCATAAGCCACTAATCTACCATCCTGCATCAATACACAACCCAAACCATCACGTGAGGCGTCATAATAGATCACATAACTTATGCCACGCTCGGGTATCACCAACACTGGAGCCGTAGTCAACCTTGTTTTCAACTCTTGAAAGGATGACTCACAGGCCTCATTCCATGCAAACTTGATCCCTTTCTGGGTCAATCTGGTCATAGGAGCTGCCAAACGGGAAAAATCCTTCACAAATCTCCGATAATAACCTGCTAGGCCAAGGAAACTCCGGATCTCCAAGACATTCTTGGGTTGTTCCCAATTCAACTCCACCTTCCGAGACAACATGTCCCAAAAACTTCACCTCTTGTAGCCAAAACTTACACTTTTCATATTTGGCATACAAACGATGCTCCCGTAGAATTTGCAACACTACACTCAAATGGACCTCATGCTCCTCCCGAGTCCGTGAATACATGAGAATGTTATCCATAAAAACTACCATAAACTGATCCAAGTAATCGTGGAAGACACGGTTCATTAAATCCATGAATGTCGTTGGAGCGTTAGTCATACCAAAGGGCATGACAAGAAACTCATAGTGTCCATACCGCGTACGGAAAGCGGTCTTTGGAACATCCTCTTCTCTAACCCGCAACTGATAATAACCTGACCTCAAGTCAATCTTCGAAAAACAACTGGCTCCTCTCAACTGATCAAATAAATCATCTATCCTTGGTAAATGATACTTGTTCTTGATGGTGGCATAATTTAACTTCAGGTAATCAATACACAACCTCAAAGAACCATTTTTCTTCTTAGCGAACAAAACCAATGCACCCCAGGTGACACACTCGGTCGGATGAAGCCTTTCAGTCTCAAATCATCAAGTTGCTTCTTCAATTCTTCTAATTCAATCGGAGCCATACGATACGGTGCCATAAAGATTGGTGCGGTACCAGACATCAAATCAATAGCAAATTCCACCTCTCGGTATGGAAGCAACTCAGTCAAGTTCTCCGGAAACACATCTAGAAAGTCACGCACAACCACTGGATAATCAACCCCACAAAACTCAACATCATCATCGGCGAAAAGGCTAGCCAAGAAGAACGTCTGCCGATCCCCGTCCCCTAACACCATAGAATGAATGAGTGAGAGGATCACACCGATCTCCCATAAAACAGAAACAATCCCCATCCGGGGTACACACTAAAACTCTACCTCTGAAACAATCAATGACAGCTCTGAAGGACAACAACCAGTCCATCCCAAGAATAACGTCAAATCCTGTCATCTCGAGAAGGATGAAATCGAACTCCAGTACCCGTCCGGCAATAGTAATGGAACAACCCCGACAAACTCTACCAAGAGTGACCGAATCCCCAATAGGCGTATTGACTGAATCCCCAATAGGCGTGTCAACACAAAGTGGTATATCTAATTGACTGACCTCCAACCCTAATGCCCGTGCAAATGATGAAGCAATGAATGAATAGGAAGCACCAGAATCAAACAACATACTAGCCCAAGAATGGGACACAAGAAACATACCTTTGACAACTGAAGGACTAGATGGTGGCTTAACTAGAGTGAGTGCAAACACCTGACCCTGAGTCCTCTGCCCCTGAGAACCACATGCCTGATAACCAGACTACTGAGTGGGTGCACTCGAAGAAGCTCCCCTACCCGGTCGAGAACTTTGGGCTGACATGGCTGACTGAGATGGCTGAGGTGGTGGTGGTGGTGGTGGTCGAAACCCTAACTGAACTGTGGCAGACTGCATCTGCCTCTGCTGCAAACCTCTACCTCTACCCAAACCACTACCCCGCTGTGGACAATCTTTCACCCTATAGCCCTACTGGCCACACCCGAAACATCCACCAGACACTATCTGAATTTGAGTACACTGAGACTTGTGATGCCCTAACTGCCCACACTTGAAACAAATCACTTGAGCTACCTGAGCTTGAGTGCATTGGGACTTATAATGCACTGGTTGCCCGCATCTAAAACAAGTAACATTCAATCTAGAAGACCCCATGGACACTGAAGCTATGGGTGTGGATCTGACTGGATGATGTCCCCTGAATCCTGACTGCTCATGTTTCTGCTTCTTACTTGATTGTCCTTCTGAGAAAGCACTCATACCCCTGTTGTGTTTGTAGGATTTCCTGATAGCCTTATTGTCCTTGCTTTCAGCCTTAACTACTAAGGCTTTTCGCACTATTTTTGTATACTCTGTCGGTTCTGAAGCAGCTATAATTGGCCTGATGGTAAGATCAAGGCCATCAACAAATTTCTCTATCTTTCCTTCCTCATAATTAGCAATCCCCAGTGCAAATCTCAAAAGCGATGTAAACTTGTTTTCATACTCTGTAACTATCATATTTCCTTGCTTCAACCCATCAAACTCTTTCTTTAGTTCCCTCCGCTTAGGCGCCGGAAAGTACTTCTCATAGTACAACTTCTTGAATGTATCATAAGTCATTGTGTCCAGATTATGGGTGTGAGAAACAGTCTTCCACCATATCTCAGCATCACCAACAAAATTGTAAGTCGCCAATATAATCTTCAACTTGCCGTTGCCAAATTCATGGCATTAATATGTTTATCCACCCTATCCATGAAACTATCCGCAATAAGCGGATCTGGGCCGCCCTCAAGCAGAGTTGGCATCAATTTCACAAACTTTGCAATGTGATAAAGAGTATCATCTAACTCATTTGTCCCCTTCTTGGTGGGACCAAATCATGCAACAAGATATCTTCATCAACTTACTCCTGATCCCTTTCCACGGGATTGGAGCTAAAACTTTCCCCGAGATCCCTTCGTGGTGGCATGATGCTATAAGAAAAATGAAACGGATCAATTACGATGACACTAAAATACGCACGAGAACGGAGTCCTCACACCCGTTCGATATAAAATTATGGGTATCCGCTTGCTCAAAATTGTTCATGCTAAGCGGATCCTCCAGCAGGTTTTTTCGACTCCAATGGCTAAGGATGTATCCAAAGGCCATCTTGCTGTTTACGTTGGAGAAACCGAGAAGAAGAGATTTGTTGTCCCAATTTCATTTTTGAAGCATCCTTCATTTCAAAACTTGCTAAGCCATGCTGAAGAGGAGTTTGGATTTGATCATCCAATGGGTGGTCTCACCATCCCATGCAGAGAAGAAATCTTCATTGATCTCACTTGCAATTTGAATTGCTCTTAAGCAAGGAGATGAAGGAATGACTAGCCAATACAGACAGATATTCTTACACCATTGACCAAAAGAAATCAATTGCTTCAATTTTGAAATAGAAGAGAACTGGTTATTTCTTGTATATGTAATGTAACCTTTGATTATTATGAAGTAAACTGAGAGTTGAATCTCTTCGCATCAATTGAGTAGCTTAAACTTTTCTTATCTGTAGTCCAAATGCGGCTAATCTGACCCTTACATAGATATTTAGTATCAACAATATGATTATGCATGTTAATTACCAAAAGCCAAATCTATAATTCGGAGTCACTCTGCATACCTTTTAAATTTTGAAGAATTACTTACCAAAAAAAAATTTGTATTCAATAATTTATGTTTACCTGGTAGATAAAATTTTGAAGTATCTGCAGTAAAATGCAAGAAGAATCCCCTATGTTACACTTATTTCAAATGGTCAAAAGTGAATATCGGCCTGTCATTTTTTAACTGCTGGTACATTTCTCACAATAATCTCTGTTAAGTACTTGAAATGTGATGGGTACCATTGAGGACCACTAGTAGGTCATGATTCAGATGGAACAATCTATTTTTTCTTGCAAGATAATGTTTTGGTTTCTTGCTATAGTAAGATTTTTTGGATTTCGGCTATTCTTTTCCATTTAATGTTGGCGGAGTTTGGCATGCTCTTGTAAGCTTTCATGGAAACTTACTTTCTAAATCTCCTTACTGGTTTAGAATTGAATTTATACTCTGGATTTTATTCAGGTTCATAGTTGTTCTTATGTGAGAGAAATGATTGCAGAGGATTTATGTATCTCCTCAACTGATACAAACTTCACCACATAATGCTTATATTATGTTATCATACATAGAGAAAATAGTAGAATTTGCATGTCCCTTGGTCCATGGGTTTTCTACTAAAGGAGGCTATCTACTATCCTCATATCTCTTTAAATTTAATGGGATCCTCTGTAGGCTATTGTACCAGAAGCCGTAGGGCATCATGTCTTTCAACAAATACACATTCTAGTCTCTATAATTCTAAATTTCTGATGAGTTGGAAGACACCCTCGCGTGATCTTCAGGTGCTAATATGTCCCGTGAACCCCATATAACTTCTTAAATCCCCTGTTCGGTGGTGCAATAACAAACACAACAATTATGACTTTTTTTTTTTTTTTTTTTTTTTTTTTTAATCTCAAACCTAACCAGCATACCAGCATTGTATTGATATATAGTTATAATCAGTAGGCCATATTCACTAACAAATTTTCAACTTGATCTCAATTGTTTGTTCTGTTTTAGTGATAGGGTCATGACAAATTTTCATGTTCTATCTGTTGGGAGGCATAACCCTGTGATACTTCGAGACTTGTGTCTTTAATGGACCACAGTGCTCTGCTCTCTTGACCACTCACTCCATATGAGAATGCTGGACCATGAAACATTTGCTCTATATATTTGTGTGTGTTCCAACTTTATCTATCCACATCTCAAAGCTTCTCTTGTTTGTATAACAAAGTCTTAAAAGATCAATTACTAGCAACTTTTCCAAGAAAACCATTTGATAGAGATATGGGTATCCGTTTGCTCAGAATTGTTCGTGCTAAGCAGATCCTCCAGCAGGTTTTTTCAACTCCAGTGGCTACGGGTGTACCCAAAGGCCACTTTGCTGTGTTCATTTTTTTTTTTTTTTTTTTTTTTTTTTGATAAATAAAGGCCACTTTGCTGTTAATGTTGGAGAAACAGAGAAGAAGAGATTTGTAGTACCAATTGCATATTTGAAGCATCCTTCATTCCAAAACTTGCTGAGCCATGCTGAAGAAGAGTTTGGATTTGATCATCCAATGGGTGGTCTCACCATCCCATGTAGATTAGAAGCCTTCATTGATCTCACTCGCAATATTACTTGTTCTTAAGGAAGGAGAAAAAGGCATGGCAAGCCCATATGAAACAGAATTCTAACACTTTTTGACCCTAAGAAACTAATTGCTCCAATTTTGAACTAGGAGAATTGGTAAAATCAATGTTACTTTTTTTTTCTTTTTTATTTTTATTTTTATTTTTTTTATATGCAGTAAATTGAGAGTTTAATCTCTTTACACCATTGAATAGCTTAACCTTTTTTCCTTTTTTTTTTTTTGAAGTTTTTTTTGTCTTCTGTTAGTGAAATAGCTCTCTCAATACCAATTCTCAATTGTAATTTCCTAATGCGAAATTAAAAAGTACCCCAATTTGTACTCTTGCACATATTATATTGACATGTTCTCAACTCGAGCCTTAACTTATCTGAGTACAAACGGTCAAAACCAAGATAATAACTGAAGTTACGATTCCGCCCCTTATTTTTCAAATTTGTGACTAACACCAAACTTACCTCGAATGTCTCACTAACTCTTCTCAATGAGTCAACAGTCGTAAATCTTCCTAAGCTTCATCCCATCCTCAAATTGCACGATCCTTGAAATGGTGTCCAATTTAATCAAAATGGGTTGTGTCTTTTAAGCACTCCAAAGCTACTCCTTTTATCATAATTATATATTAATGGTGTTCTTCAACATCCACATCAGCTCTTTAGCAGCACAATTTTTTTTATTAAAATAGCTAAACTTTGTGAACAAGCAAATACCCAAATGGAAATAGAATGAATACTGCACTCGAACTGAATAATGCACCAGAAGTGTTTGATAATATGACTCTGATGATTTTATCCGGCTTATTGGGATTAGGTGTGGAAGGTGATATGCCTAAAGATACTTTGTTGAGCTCAGAGGTTTACCTATGGGAGAAGAGGCTTATTAGAGAGACGAATGGATGTACAAAGACTAGTTAATGCATCATCAAAAGCAAACTGATGTCAGGTAAGTTCTGATGTAGCCACTGCAAAAATGTCTTCTACTTAGGCTTATGGTTCCTGCAATTCATTTTGTCATGATCATTTCTTACGAAATGTTAATAAAATGTAAACTACAATTATATTTAAGAGGGATAATGTATTGCTTGAACTCAATGATTTTGTGCTATACATGACTTCATATGTGAAATGGGTATCACATCATAAGCAACTCTTCAGTCCCACTCAGGTTAAATGCCTTGCTTGCTTCTATCTGACCAGGCACATGTCCTATTGTTGTTTTTTTATATGTCATGTTTGTGGAACTTCGCATTACGTATATACTTTTAAGTACCTTCTCTTGCATTATAATTACAAGGCATAAATAGTTTTGAGCATTGGAGGTGCATATTATTTTGTATCTTGCTGTTTATTTTTGCTTGATTTATATTCGGCCCCAGTTGTCTCGAACTTGACCCTTATCTAAGAATCAATTGGCTCTATTTTCATATCATCAAGACATCTTCACCATGCATTTGTTGTTTCAACCATGTCCCTCATTTGGTTTGTGTTGTTTTCCCAGCTGTAGGGCATGATGCATTTTAACAGATGTACACTATGATTTTCTGGTCCCCTAATCTTTGGTCATTAGTTGGAAGACAGAATCATGTGATCCTTCATAGTTATGTTGCTCACCAGACTTCATCAAGCTCTCCTGACCACTCACTTTAAATTCTTGAGGATTTCCATATATTCTATCCCCTCTATATATACCTCATATATGATCAAGTTTTTCAACCAGCACAAGGATCCACATTTCTCTACAATCAAAACTCACCTGTTCTTATAGCCTTTTAAGCTTTCTTCTCCTTTTTGCAAAGAGCCAATCCATAAGAGAGTATGGGTATCCGATTGCCTGGTGTTCTCCAAGCTAAGCAAATTCTCCGCCAATCTCTTCTGACTGCAAGTCCAGCAGCTGTAAATGTCCCAAAGGGATACTTGGCAGTTTATGTTGGGGAGTCTCAGAAGAGGAGATATATGGTTCCAGTATCATATTTGAACCAACCTAAATTTCAAGAGCTGCTACATAAGGCTGAAGAAGAGTATGGATTTGACCATCCAATGGGTGGTCTTACAATTCCTTGTGAAGAAGACACCTTCCTAAACATTACCTCTCATTTGACTAGTTTATGAGAGCTTACATGAAAAGCAGCAAAAAAAACCGATCATCAAGAAAAGTTTTGTAAATTACAGAGAAAATTACATGTATATCCTTTCTTTTTTCCTTTTTTGGCAAAAAAATTCCTGAAGGAAGCCAAAACTCCCCGTACCATAAATTATGCAACAAAAATATTACATTCTTTTATCTAAATTTTTATCTTCTTGTTCCTTGCATTCTTGCTAAGATCCATATATTGTCTTCCTCTTGTGATGGTTTCCAGAAATGTATGGCTTGGTTATAACATTCATGCTTTGGAGATAGCCTCGTATGCATTAACAGCTTTTGATAACAGCATTCATGAGTGAGCCTATATAGTTGTGATAAGTTGCTTTTTTTAATTTTGCATATTAATTTCTTTTATTTTAATATATTTTTCTGGTTTGTTTATGAAGAATGATTGCAATCAAAATGGTTATTTGCTTCACTGATTGCAATTTTAAATGATTATTTACTTTACACTAAATATAATTTGTGCAATTGTCAGCGTGACCATGAATAGTAAGAAATATGTTAAGAAATCATTGAAAGTTAGCATTGCTGGACATTTGTAAAAATTATCTCAAAACAGAACATTAATTTTGTTTCAAATCAGTATAAACTGTCTTCCATTTGTGAGTTTACGGTTCTCATTAGCACCTTGATTGTAAGGGTTGTCAAACTGAACATTAATTTTGTTTCCTTATTCCATTTTTCCTAAGCCAATCTCACTTTAGGCTCTCCCTAACTTTACAACATATTATATAGTAAGCCATCTGTATTGAATTTTGATTAAGCTGGTGATCTCTTTCTATCTCGAGCCTGTCCAATTTGTGAATCCCTTGAGAGTTGAAAGTACCTTAGAAGCCCCAAATGCTTGGATACCGCTTTTACTTATCTACATATTCAGATTGGTTAATTAATACAGTACACAACTATTCGGTTCATAGAAGTAACTTTTGAGATATTGCATATTCTAGAAGTGTAAAATAGCAATTTTGTGGAACTAAAGTCCCATATAATGTATCAACAGTATGGGGAGATGTATGCCCATTGTCTGATACTGTTTACTAGGTCTTTTATGCAGTATGAGTTTGAGTTAGTAAAAGGGGTTGGAAACTCTAGTGGTTAATCATGGTCAAAGAAAGCACTGCTCGACTTCGTGGGGAGTTTAGCTCGAAACAGAAAATTATTTCATTTTAACCAGATATAAATTGTCCTGCATTCATGAGCTTACTGTTCTCATTAGCACATGGATTGTCATGTTTGTGGAACTGCACATCACTGAAATACTTTGCAAGTACTTCTCTTGCATTATCATTAACAGGCATTAATAGTTTTCAGCATTGAAGGTGACATTATTTTGTATCTTGCTGTTTATTTTTTGTCTCAAAATTGTCCCTTATCTAAGAATCATTTGGTTCTAATTTCAAATCATCAAGAGATCTTCACCGCGCATTTATGGTTTCAACTATGCCCCTTGTTTGGTTTGTTTTCCCAGCTGTAGGGCATGATGCATTTTAACAAATATACAGTGTGATTTTCTGGTCCCCTTATCTTTGATCATTAGTTGGAAGACAGAGTCATGTGATCCTTCATACTTACGTCTTTCACCAGACTTCATCTAGCTCTCCTGACCACTCACTTAAAATTCCTAAGGATTTCGATATATTCTCTCCCTTCTATTTATACCTCGTATATGATGAAGCTTTTCAACCAGCACAAGGATCCAAATTTTCTACAATCAAAACTCACCTGTTCTTTTAGCCTATTGAGCTTAATTTCTACTCTTTTTTGCAAAGAGCCGATCCATAAGAGAGTATGGGTATCCGATTGCCTGGTGTTATTCAAGCCAAGCAAATTCTCCGCCAATCTCTTCTGACTGCAAGTTCAGCAGCTTCAAATGCTATAAATGTCCCAAAGGGGTACCTAGCAGTTTATGTTGGAGAGTCTCAGAAGAGGCAATTTTTGGTTCCAGTATCGTACTTGAACCAACCTATATTTCAAGAGCTGCTACATGGGGCTGAAGAAGAGTATGGATTTGATCATCCAATGGGTGCCCTTACAATTCCTTGCCCAGAAAACACCTTCCTAGACATTACCTCTCATTTGAGTAGTTTATGAGTACAAAGAGCTTGTATGTAAAGGAGGAAAAAAACAGATCATCAAGGAAAGTTTTGTAAATTACGGAGCAAATTACATGTACATCCTTTATTTATTTTCTTTTTTGGGAAAAAATATTCTGAAGGAAGGAAAACTCCCTATACGATACATTAGACAACAAAAAGATTGCATTCTTTTATGTTAATGTTTATCTCCTTGTTTCTTGCACATTCATTTAATGTCTTCCCCTTGCTCTGGTTTTAAATTTGTCCACTTAAACACCATACTTTAGCGAGGATTCATGAGTGAGCCTATGTATATAGTTGTGATCAGTTGCTCTTTTTATTTTGCATATTAATTTACTGGTTTGTTTATGGAGAAAGATTGAAATCAAAATGGTTATTTGCTTTACTGATTGCAATCAAAATGGTTATTCGTTTTACATCAAATATAATCATACAGAGGGACAATAAATAATGCAGGTTGCCTGATGGATCAAGTATACCGACTGTCATTACTAGATAGGTTATGTTGGAGAAATTCTAAAGACACACAAGCGTTGAGGAAGACTTCGTATGGCTAGAGTTGATTGAATCTTCCACATTTGTGGAGTATCGCAGATTCTAGAATATTAGAGAGCTGGTAGAGATTTGTAGATTGAAGAATATTGGAGAGCTTGTACAGATTTGTGAAGTGTAAAAAATATTTTAGAAGTATTAGATTATTTTTTTTAATGTTTGTAAATATTTAGGATATTTATGTGAATAGTTTATGGACAATAGATATGATGCCTATAAATAGCTAGGGTCTCATTTGTAGCTTCCAACTCCTTGATTGGTGGAGAAGTCTGTCACTGATAGAAAGCCGCAACAAAAACATAAATGTTTATAATAGAAATAGAAAGGCATAATAGAAATAGACAGGCATAAGGGATTTATTTGACTTATATGTAACCTTTTTCCAAAAATATTTTCTTAAAAACCCTTGAAATAAAAAAAAGAAAGATTTTTTGGTCTACCTTATTTTACTTTATTTTTCTTTATATCAATAACTCAAGCAAAATGCAATTATCTCCAAGAACTAAGAGTCAAATAAATTATCCCTAGAGTTCATATCTTAATATCTTATCATTCTCTAAAAAAGATAGCCAAAAAAATTATGCCTAGAGTCGAGACTAAGAGGAATGTATAAACCAATGCGAAGTCTTCAATTCAATTTATCTCAACCAATTTCAGTAGTTTACTTGCCTAAAATTTGAAAAAACCTTTGTATTCATTTTTTTTGTCAAATACATTTATTTGGGTGGGCTAATTTTGGTAATAATTTTTTATACTCCTTAGGATTATCAAAATAAATACAACTATCAAAATAAGTATTCCATTATTTCAATGTAAATAAAATGAACAATTATTTTGGGACAAAAGAAGTAGAATAGATAATAATAATAATAATAATAATAATAATAATAATAATAGCTCTGATAATAATATTAAGAGAAAAACTTTACAAAGGCAGCAACTGGGAGAAAGAAAATGGAAAAGTAAGAGGTTCAAGAATTAGTTACACCACCACAAAATCTATGAGGTCAAATTTTCTAGGAAGTATATAAGTTTTGGTGAAGACAACATAAGCTTCCACGTGAATTTTTTGTTCCTGTTGATCAACTCGTTTAGAAACTAGTATTCTCGAGCATCGAACCAGGGAATGTTTCAATTCGACATCATGCCAAATCAAGTAGAACTCGTTACCACGGAAATGAAAAAAAGGCCGTATATGATACAATTGTTCAACAAGAAAAGCATCTTTTGAACCTAAGATAGTGATGCTGCCCCATAATCTCAGATCCATATCATACACAACTAACTCGAACCCAGTAGAGAGTGTTCTCAAACAATGCCACACTGGTGTTCTCCAAGCTAAACAAATTCTCCGCCAATCTCTTCTGACTGCAGGTTCAGCAGCCTCAAATGCTGTAAATGTCCCAAAGGGGTACCTGGCAGTTTATGTTGAAGAGTCTCAGAAGACGCGATTTTTGGTTCCATTGTCGTACTTGAACCAACCTGAATTTCAAGAGCTGCTACATAAGGCTGAAGAAGAGTATGGATTTGATCATCCAATGGGTGGTCTCACAATTCCTTGCCCAGAAGACACCTTCTTAGACATTACCTCTCATTTGAGTATTTTGTGAGAGTACAAAGAGCTTACATGCATAGGAGTAAAAAACAGATCATCAAGAAAAGTTTTGTAAATTACGGAGCAAATTATTACATGTACATCCTTCCTTTTTTTTGGCGAATTTTTTTTCTGGAGGAAGTAAAAACTCCCTTAACAAGAAATCATGCAATAAAAATATTACATTCTTTTATCTAAATTTTTATCTCTTGTTTCTTGCACGGTTGATCAGTTAAAAGAAAAACAAATGGTTTTCAGAAATGTATGATAATCGTTCAATTCACCACAAGTGAAACATTTTTGTTTCTGAATTATCAAATCATTGTTGGAATGACCACTTCCAATATTGTTCTTACATAACAATCTTAGATGGAACATATTTAATTTTGATTTATCTTGAATTCTTGCAGCATCCCAATTTGATGAATGAATAACATATACATTTCAGAGTCACCAATGGCAATTTTTTACGTTTCATTACAGCAGCAATGAGAGTCACTGGTTGTCTAAATGAATCATGTAAAATTGACTGTCTAAATGAATCAAGTAAAATTGTGAACACCGAAAATTGCAAAAGTTAAAAACTACCATTTACATAATTTTGATAGAATTTCAACCATGTGCATGTTTGATTGAAAAAAATGTGGTAGCCTCAAATTTCAAATTGGCTAATTAAGTTAGAATTGCATAACAATGTGTTAGAATAGTGAATAAAATAGTAGTATGATTTGAGGAAGTAAAGGGTAGTTTTATTTGATAAACAGGATTGAGACTTATGTTCTATTGATCGACCTGTTTACCATGTCTGATATGCAGGACGATTTGAGGAATAAACGAGGTTGAAAACTTGAAAAGTTAACATTGCTGAACATTATTTGATAAAATTAGCTCAAAACAGAGCATTAATTTTTTTTTTTTTTTTTCAAATTATAAAGACTGAATTTATTTTGAGCCCTTCTCTTCCTGCATTATCGTCACAGATATAAATGATTTTCATAAGTCTGCTCTGTACTTCTCTGTTTATTATTGCTTGTTTCATGAACCTATGTTCAGCTCTGGTTGTCTCAAACTTGTCCCTTATCTAAGAATCAATTGGTTCCTAATTTGTTTAAATAAGATAGTCATCAATTATCATTACAGGCATAAATAATTTTCAGCATTGTAGGTGCATATTATTGTGTAACTTGCTGTTTATTTTTGCTTGATTTATGAACTTTATGTTCGGCCCCAGTTGCTTCAAAATTGTCCCTTATCTAAGAATCATTTGGTTCTATTTTCAAATCATCAAGAGATCTTCACCATGCATTTATGGTTTCAACTATGTCCCTCGTTTGGTTTGTTTTCCCAGCTGTAGGGCATGATGCATTTTAACAAATATGCATAAATGATCATTAGTTGGAAGACAGAATCATGTGATCCTTCATACTTATGTCGCTCACCAGACTTCATCGAGCTCTCCTGACCACTCACTTTAAATTCGATATACTACTACCCCTTAATATACCTCATATATGATCAAGTTTTTCAACCAACATAATGATTCACATTTTCTACAATCAAAACTCACCTGTTCTTATAGCCTTTTGAGCTTTCTTTCTCTTTTTCGCAAAGAGCCAATCCATAATAGAGTATGGCTATCCGATTGCCTGGTATTCTCCAAGCTAAGCAAATTCTCCACCAATCTCTTCTGACGTCAGGTTCAACCTGGCAGTTTATTTTGGAGAGTCTCAGAAGAGTTCCAGTATCATACTTGAACCGACCTAAATTTCAAGAGCTGTTACATAAAGCTGAAGAAGAGTATGGATTTGATCATCCAATGGGTGGTCTTACAATTCCTTGCCCAGAAGACACTTTCCTAAATATTACCTCTCATTTGAGTAGTTTATAAGAGTATAGACAGCTTACAGGAGAAAAAAACAGATGAAGAGAAGTTTTGTAAATTACAGAGCAAATTACATGTATATCCTTTATTTTTTTCTTTTTTTTGGCAAAAAAAAATCTGGACTAAGCGAAAACTCCCTGTACCAGAAATTATGCAACAATATTCTTTTATCTAAATTTTTTTATCTTCTTGTTTCTTGAACTTTTGTTAAGATCTGATGACTTACTCTTGTGATGGTTTTAAATTTATCAACTAAATAAACAAATACCATATGGTTTTCAGAAATGTATTATAACATTCACACTTTGGAGATAGCCTCGTATGCATTAGTGGCTTTTGAACAGGATTCGTCAGTGATCCTATATATCAGTGAGCCTATATAGTTTGAAAAGTTGTTCTTTTTGTTTTGCGTATTGATTTATATATATATATATATATATATATATATATATATATTTTCCTCGTTTGTTTATGGAGAATGATTGCACTCAAAATGGTTGTTTAGTTTAGACAAGCACGGTAATTATGTTTGTTCTTCCATTTAATTCCACAAAATCAAAATCTGAAAAGTAATTCTTTGATAATAGTTCACTTCATCACAAGTAAAACAATTATGTTTCGGGATTATCAAATCATTACGGGAATGAGTTGACACTTCCAAATACTCGATCGATTTTTTTGTTTTTTTCTATTTATCTTGGATACTTCCAGCACACCAATTTGATAAATCAATGAGCAACATAATAATGTAGTCAACACAAGCTACTCAAGTAGCATGACAAAGCTTTTATTTCTGCTCTCCCCCAGTTCATGTTTTTCTATAACAAGTAATGAATACTGGATTGAATTAAGAATGTGGATTGTCTGATGGAGCAAGTACATGAGTCATGACTGGATAAGTTTTGACTATTTAATATTCCTACTGCCAATTTATGTTGGAGATATTCTAAAGACAGGCAGGGATTGGCTTGAATAGAGTTAGATTTCTAAAATAATCCACATTTATGAAGTATTTCAAAGAGAGAGAGAGTTGAAGATTTTAGAATTTTGAAGAGCTTTAGGATTTGTAGAATGTAGAGAATATTCTAAAAGTATAGATAATTTTGTAGGGTTTGCAAATATTAGGGCATTTATTTGAAGATTTCTAGAAAAAATAGATAGAATATCTATAAACAGGTAGCAATGAAAAATGGGTGAATAAATCTAAGTGTAAGTGAAAAATGAGTGATGCACACACTGAACAAAGTTAAAAATGGGTTATCATTTCTTTGTGTAGGTCAAAAATGGGTGATACATTTCCTGTGAAATGCTATTTTATTAAATTCATTCAAAGATTTATTAGTGTTGGGAGTGTTATGTGATTACCCGTTCATTATTTTATAGAGCTATGGAAATCACAATAGGAAAGAGTATGTGATTACCAGTTGATTATTTTATAGAGCTATGGAAATCACAATAGGAAAGATGTCAATTATTATTTAAATTATGAATATAAGCGTTATATGAAATAAAATATTGGCACCTTAATAATCATATATTTTAAACAATATCATATTTGAACCAATCACGTTTTTGAGAGTCGCCAAGTCAAACTGAATATATATATATATATATATATATATATATATATATAATCACAAAAGACATCTGCAGGTTTAAAATTACAAAATGTTTAGATCATTTTGATATAATTTCAAGCATGTGCATGTTTGGTTGAAAAAAAAATGTGATAGCCTCAAATTTCAGATTGGCTAATTAAGTTAGAGTTACACTTTGTCAATAAAATAACCGCACGATTTGAGGAACTAAAAGTAGATTGTTATTTGATAAACTGTTTACCATGTGTCTGATATGGAGGATGATTTGAGGGATAAGGAGGTTGAAAACTTTAAAATTAACATTGCTGAACATATGATAAAATTAGCTCAAAACAAAACATTAATTTTGTTTCAAATTAGCATAATTACTGAATTTATTTTGAGCGCTTCTCTTGCATTGTTATGATTTTTCAGAAGTCTGCTCTGTACTCTGTGTTTATTATTGCTTGTTTCATGAACCTATGTTCAGTTCTGGTTGTCTCAAACTTGTCCCTTATCTAAGAATCAATTGGTTCCTTGTTTACACTATGTCCCTCATTGTATTATCCTCCCAGCTGTAGGGGACATGATCTGTCATGAGTTGGAAACAGAACCATGATCCTCCATGAGTTATGTCTCTCACCAAACTTCATCCAAGTCTCTAAACCACTCACTTTAAATTCTTGAGGATTTTCCACATATTCCATCCCTTCTATATATATATATACCTCATTTATCCATTCACATTTTCTATAATCAAAGTTAACCTATTCTTGGAGCCTATTAAAACCCTACTTTCTTCTGCAAAGAACCAACCTATAGAAACACATGGGTGTCTGCTTTGTTGGGTTTATTTCCTTCTATATGGAGGAAAGCCCAAGTGGGTTTTATTAAAGCCCAAAGCCTAGCCCTTTAGGGTAAAGAACCCTAAGGAAGTCGGAAATAAAAAGAGAGGCGAGATCAGCCGTAGCTTTCCCAAGAGAGAGAGGAAAAATGCAGCTTTTTTCTCATACTGCCCAGATTTCATCAAAACTCCAATCCCGCTTCGTCCGTGGTCCGATCGAGCTAAAATTTGGAGGAGAGGCTCATGACTCAATGAGCTACAATCTGAATAGGTGGAGATCGGATTTTGAGCTCGGGAGTTGGGGTTCGAGCCCGTGAACAGTAACCGTATTTTTTGGGTATATTCTTTCCAATTCTCTTTATATTTGCTAAGATTGGTGATATCTTGATGAGATGTATTGTAGCCTCTAATTGCGATTAGAGAAGACTTTGTGTACCCATTATTTGATTGATAGTGGAGATTTATACTAGACTAGGTCCCGTGGTTTTTCTTCCTCACACTGGGGAAATTTTTCACATAAAAAAAATTGATTTTGTTCTTGTGGCTTGATTATTTTTCCTATTATTTTCAACACATATAAAAGTAGAAATACACTATATTTGCTTGCATATAGGGAGAAGAGTTATCCCGCTATATTTGTTTATTGTTATCTCTCCCAACAAGTGGTATCAGAGCTTGGTTATTATTAGTGCTGAATTTCTTGTGTTAAATAGTGGAAGCTAATTTAAGTAGAATGGTCACTTCGAATGGTTCAAATTACCACACTTGGAAAGGAAAAATGGAAGACCTTCTCTATGTGAAGCAATTTCATTTACCGGTGTTTGCTAGTATGAAGCCTGGTAATAAATCTGATGAAGAATGGACATTACTACATCGACAAGTGTGTGGATATATTA